CACCCTGACAGCTCTTATTGTTGCTGCTTCTGAGCATTTATCCATGGTGATTAACATTAATACTATTAAAACAGAAAGTGCCTGTGAACCTGCGTCCCCTGGCAGTCAGAAAGGGTGAGCTGTGAGGACGGAAGCCATTTTCTCTTCTGAAGCTAGTTTCCCGGGAGAGAGAATAGTAAAGAATAAGGAAATTACTGCATATAGAAGTGACAAAATGCCAGACTCCGTGCATTTTCTATTTATGTCTTTTAACCCTGAACAACTACCTATGAGGACAGGTGAGGTGATGTGGAAACTAAGTCCTTCACCCAGCTTACTTAAGCTCGGAAGTGGTTTAACAGCAAAGAATATAGGGACGTGTCCTCCCTCCTGTTCATTTCAGTATTCATGTCCCTAGGAAAGTACTTGAAGTTTACCCAACAGGCAGTCACACATACAAGTTTATAAATGAATGAATGATGGATGGATGGCGTGAATCAACTAAGGTGAGTGAGTTTCATATCCAGCTGTATCAAATGACCACAAGCTTGGTGGCTTAAAATAACACAATATGTATTGAGTTGATCAAAATGTTTCCGTAGGCTATTACAGAAAACTCAAACAAACTTTTTGGCCAACCCAATATTATAATTCTGGAGGTCAAAGTCCAATATGGGCCTCCCTCGGAAATATCAGGGCCTCCCCTGGTGGCCCAGATGGTGAAGAATCTGCCTGCAATGCAGGAGGCCCAGGTTCGACCCCTGGGCCAAGAAGATCCCCTGGAGAAGGGAATGGCTACCCACCCCAGTATTCTTGCCTGGACAATTCCAGGGACAGGGGATCCTGGTGGGCTACAGTCCATGGGATTGCAAGGAGTTGGAAACGACTGAGTGACTTAACACATTCATTTTCCCTTTTCAGGAAATATCAAGATGTCAGCTGTAGGGAAGAATCCATTTCCTTGGCTTTTCCAGCTTCTTGAAGCTGCTCACATTGCTGCCTGGTGGCCCCTTCATTCATCTTCAAAGCTGACTGTTTCATCACTCCTGCATCTGATTCTTTCATCACACCTCCCTCTGATTCCCACTCCTCCTCTGCCCCCCTCTTCCACTTTTAAAGACCTTGTTATCAATTTCTGCTGTAAGACGGGCCGATTAAACAGCCTGAATTCCATCTGCAACCTTTACCATGTCACCTAACAGATTCACAGCTTCTGGGAATTAGGACGTGACCATCTTTGGGGGTGGCAATTGTTTTGTCTGCCACAAAAAGCTTTTTTAAAGGTGTGAAATCTATCTTGCCTGTCTCAGTAGAGAAGTAATTTTTTTCTAAACCTGTGAACCATGGTTTGTTTGCTTCCTTGGATATTTAACCATGCACACATCACCTGGGGCATCTTTTTGCATCTTCCTTGCTTTGTAACCTGCAAAGCCCTCTCTGACCCTGCCATGTTCAGTAATTACCTGTTGAGGAAATGAAAGAATGAAATGGACGAGCTTTTGTTTAAAACTAGATCGATTTGGTCTAAAGGACACGGGGACCATTTTGATCTAAAACGGTAAAATTTGAGCATTAGAAAGAAGAATGGCTGTAATCGATTGAAACCCACCAAATATGTAACAAAACTACAGTTTCATAGTGAATCTAGGCAGAGTCTAGGTTCACCTCAACATTTGGACTCTCAAGACCTCCGTAGGCCACACTCAACTCCTTCTGCGTAACTCAAGGGTGGAGCACAGCGTTCGTGTCCACTGTGAGTGCAGCGTTAGACGTTCTTCTGCGGGTACCCTTGTCTCAGGTTACACTGCAGCCTACAGCTATCCCGGAGGTGTTTTCTCCCCAAGTCACAGAGCACCGGTGCAAGGAGATTCAGTCCACATTAAGCAAGTGTGGGAGCCGTCTTAGCTTAAGTGTTTCATACCCCACAGTTGCCAGCATCTTCTGTAGGAACTCATGGGCCTAGCTTCCAGCGTCCCACAAGGGACATGCATAGGTCCAAGAATGACCCTATTCAGGGGAGTTCAGAGGATGCTTCCCTATTCAGAATGTATGGTTCATTTACAAGTCCTCTCATCCAGATGTAATTTATCAATCAGACATCATTTTTATAATAAGCCATGTCGCCTAGTATCACATTTGATGTTCTTGCCCTTCTGAAGTTTTCAGGTAAAAGTTAGCCAAAGCTCAGGTTCCCAGGGAGTTGGGAAAAGTTTTATTAATCTTTTGCTCTCATAATAGAACAAACAAGCAAATAAACCAATGAACAAACTCCCAACTCATTTGTCACCCTTAGAGGTTGCTATGACACCAACTCTTTAATTAGCAAAGACTCAAACATCTATCCTAATTATGAGCTTTATGTCAGAGTAACTGCATTGTTGAGGAGAAAAGTACTTCTTTTTGAAGAATTATAGCTTAAAAAATATAGAAGAAATAATAGAATTAGAAACTGTGATTTTTTTTCCCAACCCCTAATGGTATCATAGATCTAGCTAACAATTACAATGCATACTGAGACCATTAGGTGAAAGGTTAATAGGGAATTTCCTGGTATAGGGATGTTGCTGGCACCATTCGAACCTGTGATCCATCTTTGTATTTCATAGAGTCATACATGCATAGTATGACTTTACAGGAAACACATGTTACCACCACTAATGGTACATTTTTGAAAACAAATTGAATCTGACTCTAATCAAGACCTTAGATCTAACTAGTTGTTTGAGGAAAAACAGAGGATAGAAGAACCATGACACCCTTGGAAGCAATCAGCCAATCCCAGAATGTTGGAGGTTCTGCAGGATGAGTGACCTGGTTTTCCCAACAAATCAGTGGCATGCAAAGGAAAATGGAATGGCAGAATGATATAGTCTAAAGTGGACTTAGTCAACATTGTGGGATTTTGTTAGGTTCTTGAATTAAACTTTCCACCGTAAAAATTATTTTGGGACACTTGAGGTAGTTTGAATAGTGACTGATACTAATTATTGGAATTATTGTTAACATTTCAAATATGATAGGGTTAAATGATATTTAATATAATGACATCAAGATTTGGTAAAACTGATATACATAAACATATATATACACTTATAGACACACATGTGCACTTAAGTGTGTATATATACATGTGCATTCACTTTTGTGTATGTGTATTTATATACTCTGCATGTCTTAGTCATCTCTGACTCTTTGCAACCCCATGGACTGTAGCCCGTCAGGCTTATCTGTCCGTAGAACTTTCCAGGCAAGAATACTGAAGTGGGTTGCCATTTCCTCTTCCACAGGATCTTCCAGATCCAAGGACTAAACCCATGTCTCCTATATCTTCTGCATTGGCAGGCGAATTCTTTACCACTGTGCCACCTGGGAAGCCCGAATATATGTATATAAACATTATATATATATGTACACACACATATATTCCTGATAGTTAATGATACATACTGAGGAAATTCAAAGTAAAATGAAATATCCTGGATTTGCTTTAAAATGGTCAGACTTTGAAGAGTAAATATTTGATTGGTAAATATTTACAATTTTCAAAGTTGAATAATGATTACATTGGGAATCCTACTATTCTACTTTTAAATGCTTAAAAATATCCATAGTAAAGTTTTCTTAAACTCATATTTTACAGTCAGATGCCATTTTCTATCAAATTGGTAAAAATGTTTCAGTAGAGGGACTGGTGAAATAAGGACCCTAGGCATTGACGGGGAGCTTTTCTGGAAAGTGGTTTTAGCATGATGTCCCAGGAAGCTTAAAAATGGTCACATCTGACCCACATTTGATATCCTTTGTGGAAATAATACTGAAGAGATCATTGTGACTATCAAAAACTCTTTACAAAGGATATTTATTTCAGGTTATTTTAGATTTTGAATTTTGCGAGTAACCCAAATGTGTACCACTAAAAGAACAAGTCATTGAATCATGGTACATCACATTGTGAGATATTTTGCAACTATTATAGAAGAAACTTTTTCAGTTTTTAATACCATTGGAAGATGCCTGTTATAGCAATAATTGGAAAAAGGAAAAATTGTACTTGGATCTATGTAACTAAAATACGTGCAGAGAAAAAAACTGAAAGCAAATACAACAAAATGCTTTCCTTGGTTCTGATTGGGTGGTAGACTTATAGTTAATGAGGTCTTTTTCTATGTTTCTTTATTTTCCAGATTTTTCTATTGTGAGCATAAATTAATTTTGTTGTTTGCATCTTTTAATAGTTTTATAGAGGTATAACCAAGATACCATAAAATTCACCCACATTGAAAACAGTCTGATGTATATGTGTATCTTTAGTTATATAACCACTGTCACAATCAAGTTTCAGAATCTGAGACCCTGTGAAGTATCTCACAAATATTTCTTGAGTAGACTTCATTTTTAGAGCAGTTTTAGATTTACATAAAAATTGAGAAAATAGTACAGAGAGTTTGTACATACCCTGTACTCAGATTCCCCTATTATTAAAATCTTCCATTCCTACAGTACATTTGTTAAAAAAATAATGAACCAATACTGTTACTTTATTATTAATTAAACTCTATTTAGTTTTCCCTAGTTTTTAATGTCCTTTTTATGTTCCAGGATTCCATACAGGATACCATGTTACATTTAGTTGACACACCTATAAATTAATTTTTAATTGGAAAAAAGTAAATTTTAATTTTAAAATCCCCCAAATATTTAACCATCTTCTCTTAGTCTTGTTGATGTTGTTGATTTATGGCTTGTTGAGAAAGACCATGTCTTATATTAGTTATATTTCATGTAGTTTCCAACATGGTTGGAATTTTATTAAATAAGATTCTGCTACTTTATTCACTGTGCTTTTCTAACTGTGGAAGAGGAGAAGAGGAGCATGGATGAGTGGAAGAGGAGAAAAGGAGAGAAAAGAAAAAAGAAAGACCTTGCCCACAAATAATTGAAAAACCTCAGCACTCTGAGGGACCTATGGTTTCTGTTGCAATTTCATGTAATGGAATTCTCTTGACCTCTGTGTTTCCCAGGTTGGAAATTGCAACCCTAAATCGGGCAGACTCAGATCTGGAAGCTTGTCGAACTCAAATCAGCAAAGATATCATTGCCCTTCTGCTGAAAAATCTGACCAGCAGTGGCCAGCTCTCCCCTCAGGTGGAGAGGAGGATGGGTGCTGTGTTCAAAAAGCAGTTTCTGTTGCTGGAGAAAGAAACACAAGAGGAGTATGATCGTAAGATGGTGGCCCTGACGGCTGAGTGTGACCTGGAAACCAGGAAGAAGACAGAAAGCCAGTACCAGAGGGAGCTGGCAGCTATGGAGGAAGCAGAAGAGGTGCTGAAACGTGTCAGCGAGAGGGTAAGGCCGCTTTGAAAGGGAGCCTTGCTTTTGCCTCCCTCCTTCCTCTCAAGGATTCATCATTTACCCATCCGTCCATTTTATCCATCCACCCGTCCATCCATTCTCCCCACCTGCCACCCTTCCATCTGTCCCATCTACTTATTCATCCATCCATTTATTCACTCACGGCTCATCCATGCTTCTGTCCATCCAACTCCCAACCCATCCATCCATCCACCTACCTCCATTCTATCTACTTGTCCATCTGCACATCCATCCATCCATCCACTTATCCATTTATCTACCTACCACTCTTCCATCCACCTGTCCATCTACAGATCCATCCATCCATCCATCCAACCACCCAGAATTCATTTAGAAAGCATTTACCGATCACTGCTGTCTAGGCAGTGAAGGTGCAGAGAATGCTGAGACATGGTTCTTGCATTTGAGAAGTTCATAGTCTAATGAAGGACTGTATATCCTCACATATAACAAGTATGACTTCATTCAACTGTGTTATAACAGAGGCACGTTCAAATGCTGTGGAAGGCCATGGGTAGAAAGGCTTCATTCTGGGAAGGCATAGCTCAGGGGGCTGTGATGGCAGTGCACGTGTATCCGTCTGGATTGCACTGCACTAGGTCACGGTTCTGTCTCCAGCACGGGCTCTGGAACCAGACAAACCTGGACTCCCCTCTGCTCCTGAAGGCCCTGATTAGCTTCTGTAAGTCTGTGAATCAAAACAGGGCACCCGCCTCTCTGAGCGGCTGGGAAAAGTGATGCAGGAAAGGAGTCCCCGGGCCTGGGCTACAGAAGGCTCTCCTGCACAATGTGGGGTCTGGGAGTTCTGATCCGTCAGCCTTTCCAGGGCCGACCTCTGTTGATCAGAGAGCAGCTCTCATTTTTCTAAAAGAGTGTCAGTTGCTATCTTGAAAGGGATCATGCCAGAGTGCTTTTTTCCCAAGTGCACCAAATCTAGACTGATTTCTTCCTTCGTCCATGGAAGAGATGGTGGTTGACTCCAGTGACTTGAGCCCTGACATCTCCTGATCCACAGGGAGGTCTAACATCTACTTAGGGACAAGCTTCTCAACTCCTAACATCCATTCCCCAGACTGTGCACAGAATTACCCAGGAGTGAGTAGAGCTCTTGGGGTGACGCCTCCTGACTCTCACAGGGTCACCTGTGGTCACACCATGGACTGGGCAGTAAAGCAGAGAGGAGTGATTTACACTACCTCACTCCCACCCACTCCCCTGCAACTGGCGTCCCTTCACCTCAACACCCATTTCATTTTAGGGATGAGAAGATAAGTGTGACTTATCTTCTGTTCGGTTGTTATGTGAATTTCCTGCAGCTGCTGTAACAAATGACCACAGACATAGTGACTTAGAACAACAGAAACTCATTCTCTCACAGTTCTGGAGGCCAGAAGTCCAAAATCACAGTGTCCGCTGGACACGCCCCCTCTGAAATCTCTTGGGGAGAAATCCCCCCCACTCCCGCCTCTTCCAACTTCTGGTGGCTCCAGGCATTCCTCAGCTTGTGGCCACAGCCCTCCAATCTTAAACTCTGTCTTCACATGGCCCCTTGACGCTGTCACCTTCTCTTCCATCTCTTATAAGGACACTCATCTTTTGATATAGGGCTCACCCAGATAATCTAGGATGACCTCATGAGACCCTTAAGTACATCTGCGAAGACCCTGCTTTCAAAGATCACATTCATCAGGTGCTGGAGTTAGAAGGAGGATGTATCTTTTTAAGGAGGGGGCACTGTTTAGCTCACCGTGGCTCCCCTAGCTGATCTCCATCCATGACTCCATCCATGACTTTACAGGTCAGGACCGTGTTTCCTTGAGCTCAGCACTTAAAAAGAATGCATTCAACACAGTTAGTGATTCAGTCCCAAACAGCCTCATTCTTTCTCTCTCTCTCTCTCTTGTTTCCTAAATTTGTTCTAATTTTTTTTTCTGATAAAAATAATACACATTCAATAAGGATGACTTGAGAAGGACTGGAAGGCAGAGGTCAGCAAGCTGGGACCCAGGAGTCCAATCCTGCCTGGCCTTTTTCTGTCTGACCCTTGAAATGGTTTCATTTTTAAAGAATTACAAAAAATAAAAACAAAACAAACAAAAAAAGAATATGTGATAGGACCCAATGGGTCCTGCAAAGCCTAAAATATTTATCTTGTTCTTTACTAAAAGCTTGCCAACTCCAGCTCCCAGCATAAAAAGAACTGCCCCCCCCAAAAAAAATTGAAACCCATCTGACCACTAAAAAGCAGACCAACATTCCTTCAGCCTGTTTGTTGAGTTCTGCTGTGTCTCAGCCTAGAGACATAGCTATGCTAAAGGCCCCCACTCCTGTCCTAGGATTTCAGCATAAGCCTTTTGCTTTAAATATATATATATTTTTTACAGAGTGAGGTTTATGCAGTTCATTAACGGTTTATCATGCTTGTTTCCACTCACCATCACAGTACAGTTTCTGATTTCATGAAACGCTCTCACACTTGCTTAGCCCATTCACTATGGGCCAAGAATTGTTCTAAGCTCATCACCTGGACCTTCTCTTCAAATATTCACACTCACTCAGGGAGGTGGCAATTGATAGGATCCCGTGTTTATAGGTAAGGAATCAGATGGAGAGAAGGTCACCTGCCCTAGGACATGTGGGTGGACCAAGACTCACGCAGGCAGCTCATCCCAGTGACTGCACCTCACGGCCACCTGGGGCGATGCAGTTTTAAATGTTGGCCCATTATTTACACTGGCTGTTGGGGGCATGAAGAAGGGGTGACACACAGTGTCCTGCCCCATCCCTGCAGGGGCCAGGGTAGGGGGACCATCCCTCTGGATCCCCCAGGCCACCTTGTCCAGAGAACAGCCTCTTTAAGCCAACCTGCTTCCAAAACTACCATCTGAACGGCAAAAGGTTTTAGAGCTATTTCCCTTTTGGTCTGTGCAAACCATTCCTTCTTAGAAAATGTTGATGACCTTGTACTTATCTGTTCATTCATGATAGTCATCTTTAAATAAAAATGCATGAAAATATGTCAGTCATATCATTCTTCCAAAAATTAGCTTGAAAAAAAAAATGGGCAGTATCAGTTTTCTTGAGTAAAGTTTAGGAATTCCAATAATTAGTATAGCAGTGAATTCTGTTCACATTGAAAGGCCTATGTAATCCCAAACAGTTTCCAAAGCATTTCTCCAGGGAGAGGCTCTTGGGGGGCCAGTGCTGACTATGGACTCTGAGTGCAGGTGGCTTAGGTTTAGAGCTCACTCTGTTGCTCCAGGTGCATTGCTCAGTCTCCTTGGGTCTTGGTTTCCCCATCCTTAAACTGGGGATAATGATGACTCCTGTCTTATAGAACGGTTAATATTAATACCTGTGTAGGACTTAGACCAGAACTTGGCACTGTCGGCCCTGTTCTATACAGTGTTTATCATGTTTCATTATTTCGTGTAACTTTAAAGAAGCCCATGGCATAAAACAGCCAGCCTATGAAATCTTTTCAGTTTGAGTTGGGGAAACAGAAGCCCAGAGGGGAAGTGACTTGCCCAGCTTCCTGCAAACAGCCACTAGCCGTTCAGGGTATGTGCTGTGTACAGGACTCTTCCAGATCTGCTGGCTTCCCAGCTGCTCGGAGAAGAGGCAGCGCCAGCACCACCTGCCCTAGGCTCCCTGAAGTCTCCTAACTCCCCTCTGTGTGTCCTAGAGGGAAGAATGCCTTATGTGCAAGAACTCTTATACTGTAACCACCCCTGGTGGGTTTACTTCTATAAAACATTTTTACAATCTGCTCAGCCTGCGAAATTGAGTACAGTGAGTGTCATTTAGTACAGTCATAATTTCTGAACACGATTTCACATTTTTGATGGTGTAGTTGAGTTCAGTTCAGTCACTCAGTTGTGTCCAACTCTTTGCAATCCCAAGGACCGCAGCATGCCAGGCTTCCCTATCCAGCACCAGCTCCCGGAACTTGCTCAAACTCATGTCCATCGAGTCAATGGTGCCATCCAACCATCCCATCCTCTGTCGTCCCCTTCTCCTGTCTTCAATCTTTCCCAGCATCAGGGTCTTTTCCAATGAGTTGCCTCTTCACATCAGGTGGCCAAAGTATTGGAGCTTCAGCTTCAGCATCAGTCCTTCCAATGAATATTCAGGACTGATTTCCTTTAGGATGGACTGGTTGGATCTCCTTGCAGTCCAAGGGACTCTCAAGAGTCTTCTCCAACACCACAGTTCAAAAGCATCAATTCTTCGGTGCTCAGCTTTCTTTATAGTCCAACTCTCACATCCATACATGACTACTGGAAAAACCATAGCTTTGACTAGACAGACCTTTGTCAGTAAAGTCAAGTCTCTGCTTTTTAATATGTTGTCTAGGTTGGTCATAGCTTTTCTTCCAAGGAGCAAGCATCTTTTAATTTCATGACTGCAGTCACCATCTGCGGTGATTTTGGACCCCAAGAAAATAAAGTCTGTCACTGTTTCCATTGTTTCCCCATCTTGATGGTGTAGAGTCAGCCTGAATAGCAATTGCCAGAATAGCCTGGCTCAGGCCTGCGATTCTTGAGCCAGGATTGAAGTGCCCTGTCCTGGTCAATGCCACCCAATCCCTCCATGCAGTTTGCCTTTTCTCGCATTTGAAGTCAAAGTATCAACATGCCTCATTTGTCTGAAAAGTCTATTTTAGTGGAAAGTTCAGTAGGGAGTTGGAGTGAATGACCATTATATTAATGTATCTTTAAAAATGCACATTTGTTACCAATTTTTAAAATATAAAAATTTGGATGAAAACCCAGACTTTCAGCTTCTCTTTAAAAACATGGGAAGATGTGGCCACACCGAGTGCATAGTCCGGCAGAGCCTCACTTGGTGGGTTGACGGTGGCTGGCCCTGTAGGCAGGGCTTTCTGTGTCCACCTTGCCCCACTCTCCACCTCTCTCTAGTGTGTCCCATGCCAGGCCACTTCACACGGCCTCTCCTGGTTGGCAGGTCTGGGAAGGGGTGTCCTTTGCTTTAGAGTTTAGTCTCTCATCTGTGCGACAGGAGAGCTGAACTGGAGCAGGGGATGAACACGTTTCTGTGGATCTCTAGACCCCTTTAGGAGGGCAGTATACACATACATGGGGGTCTCCCATCAAAAGTTGCTTCAAGGAGTGTTCCACTATGACAAACACGTCGTTGCCCCGTGCCTTATTCTTCTGCAGAAATGCTGCAGATTCTATACCACTGAGCCACCTGGGAAGGCCCACTATTATAAGCAAGCACAGATAATCATCTTTTAGGATTTGTGTGTGTGTGTGTTCTTTTGGTCCTGGCTGTGAGAAGTTTAACGGATTTCATCCCATGTTTCATTCTTATTAATTAAAATAAATGGAGGCTTGTTGAATTCCATACAGTCAGAAAAAGAAGGTCACTTTGTTGGTTGGATGGACCCTCTTAGGTACCACCTACTCCCCTGAGATGCTCTTAGGCAGAACATCTCTGTGATGCCCAGAGTCAGGGTCCAACACCCTTGTGGTGGCTTGCATTCTCTAACGTAGATTGAGTCAGCTGTGAATAAACTCTCTCTGCAGAAGAGTGACTAGGAAAAGTCTCATCCAGTCCTTTGTATAAAACCAGTTTTTAAAGAGGACCATGATGTTTTCTGGCCTCCGAGGCCAACCATTAACCATTGGACTGGCTCCAGGATGTGGCTGAGGGGACAAGAACAGAAGTCCTCTGGGTTCTAGTGCTGTGCCTGGGGCTCTTCTCATGTGGCAGGCTCTCTGGGATGGTCCCCGAGGGCAGAGATGGTCCAGTGCCAGCAGCTAGCTGCTTGGGCCCCAAATAAATAACACTCCTCTTTCTGAGCCAGATTCTGAACACATTGAAAAGTCAGTCAGAGAAGCTAAAATGGGTGTATCACTGTGATGGGCTTTTGTGAGCAATTGGAGGTGGAGGTGGGCAGGTCTGTGATGTGGGGGATTGGGAGATGGGGATACTGAGGACGCAGAGCAGAACAGAGACACAGAGCACGTGATTCTCCTGTTCAGCTGGAGGAGGTGGAGCCCTCTCCCTGTCATCACCCCTCTGCCCTCCCTGGGTCTCTGCTCAGCCTGGCCATAGCTGCCATCCCATGCCCTCTTAATCTTGACCTCTGAGACTGCTGTGCCCTCTACCTCTAAGACACACATATCTTCCCCTGACACGCTCACCAACATGTCACCCTGTCTGGTGTCTTGGAGCCTAAACATTGGCTTTGACACCTCTGCTCCTCTCCCAGGTGCTGGCAGGAACTGGGGAACGAGGCTTAGCTTGTGTTTCCTGAGCTTTCGTGTTAAGTGTGTTTACTTACCAGACCGTCACACCTTTAGCAACTTAAAATGATGCTTACCTTCTCAGAGTTCCCGTGGTCCAGAGTCTGGATGCAGTGTAACTGGGTCCTTTGTGTGTGGGGGGAGGTGGAGGTTGGTCTCACAAGCTGGGCAGCATGGTCTCAGCAGGGCGGCCTTTGCTCCCCTGGAGCTCTGGGCCCTGGTCCCAGCTCAGCCCAGTTGTTGGCAGAGTTCACTTCCTTGTGGTTGTAGGACTGAGGCCCTCGGCTCCTGTAGGCATCCCTTCCCAGTAGACAGTTCACATATGTGGCTCACTTCCTCCAAACCAGGAGGAGAGGGGCTCCCTTCTCAGGAAGATCTCGTCTCTCTTTTCAGGACTCTCCGTATTATAAGTCAGGTCCACCCAGAATAACCTCCCTTTTGATTAACTCAGAGTCAGCTGATTAGGGACCTTAATTACATCATCGAGACCTCTTCAGCTTTTCCACAGAATAATCTGATTGTGGCAGTGACAGTCCCATCATCTTTAAAGTTTATGTCCCCTGAAAAGGAGGGGATTCATGTGATGTCTATGCCAGGGGCCAGGGATCTTGGAGTCTTCTTAGAATTCTGCCCCTGCAGGTGGGATTACTAACACGCCCTCCTGCAGCGTGAGTCTCTGAGATGCTGGGAGTGCAGATGCATCAGGAATTCAGTGAAAGTGTGCCCCCTGCCTTCTCTCTAGACCATGGAAAGTGCAGGCATCCCAGAGCCACTTCTTACCTCCTCTTTGCCTCCCTTTAACACAAATGATCTCAGCTTGGGCCTGATCACTGGTATTTTTCTCTTCAACTAAGTTAAGAATGAAAGATGATGGAAATAAGCTTGAGAGGCCTAATAGCACAGTCCATTGATGTTTCCATTTTGCAGGCTATTTTCAGGCAGTTTGATTTGAAGATTTCCACCCTTATGAGTTTTCTTGAGCTGGTTCTGTGTATGTGTGTATACATGTGTGCGTTCCATGTGGGTGTGCACACATGTGCTTGCATGTGCAATGTGTACTGTATGTAAGTGTATTGCTCTGTGTGCATATGTGCATGTATGTGCACTGTTTGTTGCTGTGTGCATTTATATGCACTGTGTGTGTGCGCATGTGTATGTTTGCTGGTACATGCATGTATGCTGTGTATATATGTGTTTACACATGCATGCATATGTGTGCTTCTTTGTGTTATATGTATGTGCGTTATTGCTATGTGCATTTATGTGCACTGTGCATGTGTGTGTTGATGGTGCATGCATGTGTCCTGTGTGTACATGTGTATTGTGTGTGTGCCTGTATGTGTGTGCATGTATACGCATTATTTCTGGGTGTTTATGTGCACTATGCATGTGTTTATGTGCACATGTGCATGTTGGTGCTGCATGTATATGTGCTGTGTACATGTATATGCATGTGTATGTAACTTTACATGTGTGTGTATTTTTGCTATGCATATCAATGTCCAATGTGCATATGTATGTCGATGGTGCATGCATGTGTCCTGTGTGTACATGTGTGTGCCTGTATGAGTGTGCACGTATATGTGTTATTGCCAGGTGTATGTATGTGCATTGGGCATGTATGCTGGTACATGTATGTGTGCTGTGTGTACACATTTGCACACACATATACATGTGTGTGCTTGCGTGTTGCATGCATGTGCCTATACACACCTGGCTGGTGTATCACCGCCCGCGCATTCCCTCTTTTCTCCGCAGTCCGCCCTTGAGTGCAGCAGCCTCCTGCGGACCCTCCATGGCCTGGAGCAGGAACACCTGAGGAGGTCGCTGGCTCTGCAGCAGGAGGAGGACTTTGCCAAGGCCCACAGGCAGCTGGCCATTTTCCAGAGGAATGAACTGCACAGTATCTTTTTTACCCAGATAAAAAGTGCTATTTTCAAAGGAGAGCTGAAGCCAGAGGCAGCAAAAATGCTGCTGCAAGATTACTCTAAAATACAGGTAATGCCTCAAATGAGGCTCCCTCTGATAGAGGAGTCATTTTCCTGAGCTGTTTCACTAAATGTCTCCTCTCCCCGAGTTAAGTCCTGTCTCTTTTGTGCTGGGTTCCAGTGAACTAACCCTGTCTTCCTTCCACCTCTTGATATAGAGGGTAGCTTTCCAGTAAGCAGGGCAAATGATAGCTTGAAGCACAGGCCCTGTACTCAGGCTCCCCTGGACTTGAATTCTAGTTCCACCACCTGTCAGTAAAGCAAATTGCCTAGTGTCTCTGAGTCTCAGTTGCCTTATCTGTAAAATGGAAGTAATAGAGTCCCCATACTAAAAGCAGCATGATGCAGCTTTAATCTAATTCACAGAAAGCCAGTACTTGGCACAATATATGTTTAATGTATATAGCAGTTAAAAATAGAAATATATAAGTGCATATATGTACGTGTGTGTGCACATGTGCGGTGATGTGTGCCTAGGGCTTATGATCTCTGCCTTAATAGGCTTGTGTGAATTTGTGGGTGTTTTTGCATGGAAGCTTGAGTGTCATTAATCCAGACAGAATGAATTCCTGGATGACTGTGCACACACTGGATTGGCCAAAAAGTTCATCTGGGTTTTTCTGTAACCTTTTAAGCCAAACGAATCTTTCGGCCAAGCCTATAGTTTATACGAGACTGTCACTATTTTTACGAGGCCTGCATGTCTTTTACCTGCACTTGTGTGCGTGTGCTTAGTTGCTTCAGTCGTGTCTGGCTCTTTGCGAACCCATGGCCTGCAGCCCGCCAGGCTCCTCTGTCCATGGAGGTTCTCCAGGCAAGAATACTGGAGTGGGCTGTCATGCCCTCCTCCAGGGGGATCTCCCCAACCCAGGGATGGAACCCAGGTCGCTCGCTCTGCAGGCGGGTTCTTCACTGTCTGAGCCACCAGAGGAGCCCTGTATACACAGAATGCAGTCAGTGGTGTGCAGTCACACCCCGGAGTTCCGGTCCTGACTCAGGGCCCGTGAGTAAGGGTTGTGACAGAGCAGAGCCATCCCAGGAGGTCAGGTGGCCCTCCTGAGCCTTCTGGGAGGAGAGGACCCCTCTCTGAAGGTACTGGACATCTGAGCATGAAGAGAACTAGCCAGCCTCTCCTTTTCCTCTTGGTTTTTCCCACTAAAACTTTACGAGAGTAAATAAGCTCCTGGGCAGCTATTCGGACCCTAGAGCATCCCTTAGGGATGAACACTTTGCTGTCAGTGTACTTACTCCTCATGATGAGCTGGGTCTGACTCTCCACGTCGGAAAGAACATGTGTTATTGTTCATATGACTGAGGATGGAAAAGTAGCAGCTATGATGGTAGTGCCACGGCACAGACAACATTAGTATCTGAGGACCCCGACTCTGAGCTTCCCGACATCAAGGGCTCAGATCAGCTGACTCACAGGATCCAGCTCCGTGGAGGATGGAAATATTGTCCCAGTGTTTCTGCTGTGTTGATTCTGCTGCCAGGAACTCTTAGGGAGAAGCTGGCCTTCGCGCACATCCCACTGACCATTCCACTCTTCACTATCTGGAGAGTGCAAATCCTCAGGTGTTGGACCTGAAAAGATTATAGCCTTTGTGTGGAAAAAAGGGGACTGTCCAGGACCTCGTATGTTTTTTTGAAGAAGACATTGAACTTCCGAGGAACCCATTGCATGGACAGTATTTTGCCAGGTGGAAAAGAGATAGCAGAGACAGTCAGTGGGATAACATACTAAGGCTGATGTTTTAATTACTGCAGGTCTCATTTCTGCTGGTTGAATTACTGTGCTATTGGTTGAAGCTGGGTTTGCTAGACAGCCTCTGTTGAGCTAGAACACAGGCCCAGGAATTAGATGGCTGAGGTTCAAAGCCTTGCTCAGTCATATACCAGCTGTGTGATATGGACTCAGTTTCCTCATCTGTGAAATGGGAATAATAGGATCCTCTCCCTGGATTAAGTTAGAAAAGGTGAGAAACACTCCGGGTCCAGTGCCAGGCCCAGAAAATGCACCAGTGTGTTCTAGGCTATTATACTCTCATGTGCTTGCTTGGGTTTTTAGGTGTTTTGAAAATTCTGAGAACTTCTTGCTACTCTGTGACCAGACTCATCTCATGTCCTCAATAAATGTGGGAGTTTGGGGCCAGAGCCAGTGGCTGATTTATCCCAAAACTTCAGCACCCTGACATGAGCTGTGTTTGGGGAACTTCAGAGGTGTTACCACATGTGGGCGAAGGACACCTGAGTGAAATGTACATCCCATTCCTAAGGCAGGAAAATTGTTTTGATAAGACTTTACTATCTGGGTCTTGAATGCACTTTTCAAAGCCCTTTTTTTTTTTTAATAATTATTTTTAACTGGAGGATAGTTACTTTACAATATTGTATTAGTTTCTGCTATACTGCAATAAGAGTCAGCTATAACTATCTATCTATCTATCTATCTATCTATCTATCTATCTATCTATCTATCTATCTACCTATATTCCCCTCCCTCTAGAGCCTCCTTCCCACCCCTCTAGGTCATCACAGAACACCAAGTTGAGCTCCCTGAGCTATATAGCAGTTTCCCTTTCCTATTAGTATGTACTTTTCTCTAAACCTTTGTTCAGGACTGGGACATTTAAGGTATTCATCTCGGGGCTTCTATTCCTGTGTCTTTTCTTCAGAAAGGAAATGTAATATTTTAAATGACTAGAAATAATTTTCTCTAAATTTTAATTAGGCACGTTTTCTTGATTTTTTTTTTAAACAGGAGAGTGTCGAAGAGTTAATGGACTTTTTCCAGGCTAGTAAGAGATATCATCTCAGTAAAAGATTTGGCCACAGAGAGTACCTGGTCCAGAACATCCAGTCGTCAGAGACCCGTGTGCAAGGCCTGCTGAGCACTGCGTCTACTCAGCTGACCCTCCTCATCCAGAAACACGAGAGGTAAGACTCCTGAACCACCCCAGATAACGCAGATGAACAGCCTTCCGCCAACATTCCTCGTAGAGACCATCTGCTGCTGCAGCTGCTAAGTCGCTTCAGTCGTATCTGACCCTTTGCAACCCCAGGGACTGTAGCCCGCCAGGCTGCTCTGTCCATGGGATTCTCCAGGCAAGAGTACTGGAGTGGGATACCATGCCCTCCTCCAGGAGATCTTCCTGACCCAGGGGTGAAACCCACATCTCTTAAATCTCCTGCATTGGCAGGCGGGTTCCTAACCACTAACACCTCCTGGGAAGCCCCAGAGACCACCTACTTCTGTTCATTCATCGAATGCACTGGCTATTTGACTTATTTCTTAAGAATTCTCTAGTTAAAAGAATCCTTTGCATGATAGAATTATACATACAGATGCTTATCTTGGTTCCTGGGTATTTTTTCTCAGCAACCTTGGGGTACCACATGGCCAGGTAAATGGTGCTAATCACTGTAGCTTCTAGCCCCTTAACAGCATTTATTCTCAGCTAGTTTTTGAGACTCATGATTGTCAACAATGAAATTTATTCTTTGGATGTTACAAGCTCTAAAATGAATAGGGCCATGATGATAAGGTTGGTTTTCTCAGGACAACCATGGTTTTATGATTGGGTCTACTATTTAGCTAATTGTATTAGGACTTTGCAGCTCTCTTGCCCTCTTTAATGAGGATTCTATAAAGTGCAAATTATATGAACACTTCCCACCAAAGATGCTAATGAATTTGTCACTGCAGTTGACTTGACCCTCCTGATTCATTTTTGCTCTAGTGAAAGAAGCAGCTCCTTGCCTTGAGCAGAAGCACCAGACAGCTGGTTGTACTGTTGGGAGAAGTTTCCAGGGAAGTATATTACCTCTGCTTTTTAAATCCTATTTTAATAGGTTGGCAGAGATGTATTTCTGAAATGTGTGTCTACCATTCATTCAGGAAGTGTCCATGGAGAATTTACTGTGTGCCAAGCAGGGGCCTCGACCAAGGATGCAAACAGACTGGGAATAGTAGTGGTAATATTGGCAGCAACTGGAAAAACAGATGCAGTAAAACATGTTTGAGGAATTGGCTCACATGACTTGGAGGCTGAGAAATCCCAGGATCTCCATCTGTAAGCTGGAGGCACAGGAAAGCCAGTGGTGTAATTCAGCCAAAGGCCTGAGAACTGGGGGAATCCCAGTCTTAGAGAAGAAGATGAGATTATATGTCCCCGTTCAACAGCAAGGCAGGAAAAAAAGGGGGGAATTCCTTATTCCTCCACTTTTTATTCTATTCATGCCCTCAGTGGACTGGGTGATGCCCACCCACATTGGGGAGCGTCAATCTGCTTTATTGAGCCTACCCATTCAAATGCTAATCCCACAAGAAAACATCCTCACAGAGACACTCGAGCGTGATCGTTAATGTGGGCACCCTGGCCAATCTGTCTGGTACACAGAATCAACCCTCACACCCAACTTTCCCTGATTTAACTCTGGGACTTTGCTTGTGCCATTCATGTCACCACGAGGTCCTGGTCCATCATTTCCTCCTGGAAGATTCTATTTGTTCCACCGTGGTCCTCTTGAATGTTACATTCTCCAAAAACTCTTCCCAATTTCTGCCCTAACAGGTGATATCTCTGGTGATGTTGAGCTTCCTCTACATGCCTCTAAAAATGATCTTGCCCTTCCTGCATTTTAGTAATGTCTTAGCTGCCCATTCTGATGGTGGAAATTTCTCTGGTTCAAACCAAACTAATATGGAGACAAACATTCATCCGCAGCACATTCAAGCTGCAGGTGAGTTTGGACAGTGCATTAACTAACTCTGCATCTTTTTCATCTAGAGCAGGCTACTTGGATGAAGATCAGATGCAAGTACTCTTGGAGCGGGCTCAAACAGAAGTCTTTTCTATAAAACAGAAGTTGGACAATGACTTAAAGCAGGAGAAGAAAAAACTCCACCAAAAACTAATAATTAAGAGAAGACGAGAGATGCTGCAAAAGGTATATAAGGAATTATGACATTTATTTTTTGCATAATCACTGTGAACACCTACCAAGTGCCAGGTTCTGCACCAGGCACTGCCATCAGAAGGCTAGGATCCAAAGGGTGACTGGACAGACATCCTTATGCACCACCTGCAGTTGATTGGTAGTGGCTCTTTGGAATGCTGTGATAAGGCTTCGGTGGGTCCCATCCAGCTCAGCAAAGCTGAGGGTTGTGGTAGATTAGTAATGTCTGCCAGGACAAGAGAATAGCAGTGCTGGTTCCAGTGAATAATGACTGATGGCTACTATAATGTTTATGGAGTGTTTACTTAGCGTTGCGCTGAGTGTATTATGTATCTTATTTAATTGTTTTATTAACCCTATGAGGTAGAGGCTACTATTTTCTCTCTTTTTTCTAATGAAGACGTTGAACCTGAGAGAGCTTAAATGTTGTGATCTATTTGAGCTACTACAGAAAATACTGTAGACTAGGTGCCTTATAAAGAACAAAAATTTATATGTCACAGTTCTGGAGGCTGGAAGTCCAAGATCAGGGTTCCAGCAAGGTCAGGTTCTGATGGAGACCCTCTTCAGGTTGCAGACGACTGACTCCTTGCTGGTGGAAGAAGTCAGAAGGGTGAAAGGCAGGGAGGGAGCTCTGTGGGTAGGTGTGGGGCCTCTTTTGCAAGGACACTGATTTCATTCGGGGGCTCCATCCTCATGCCCTAAGCTCCTTTCCAAAGCTTCCTCTCCTAAATCCTCAGAACACGTATTAGCTTTCAACATCTGCATGTTGGGGAACACAGCATTCAGATCACAGCATTAAGTAAGGAGGTCAGGGTCACAGGTTTAGTGATTGGCAGCTGTGGGGTTGAGTCCAGGACCGCGTGACTTAGAGTCTCAGCCTCGCCCTTGACACTCACCTGCTCAGCTGCTTGCCCACCTGGGGAAGGGGCGAACAGAAATGCACCGTGTGCTGTCTTCATGCTCTGGTAGCATAGAGGTCACCATCACCCGGGGAAGGCTGCACAGAGCAGGTGCAGCTGAACCCGAGTCCTGGGGGCGGAGAGCCCCTGATGTGTGCAAGGCAGGAGGGACATTGCAGCTGGTGGGGAGGCATCTTGTTCAAACGTGAAGGATTCAGGCAAGGGTGCCCTGCTGTGCGTGGAGCTCTGTGAACATGAGAGTTGAGGGGGCAGGGGCTGGAGGAGGCACACCCAGGAAGCGGTGCCTCTTCAATGAGGGCAGTGTGCTGGGCTGACAGCTGACTTTCATCCGAGGACAAGAGGGAACACTGAAAGGTTTTCAGGAGAAGTGATGCCAAAAGCTCAGTCACTCTGCACCAGTGCCAAATCAAATCTCAGAGACAGAGTTTTGGGTGAAATAGAAAAGCAAAGCTTTATTGCTTTGTCAGGCAAAGGAGGACACAGCAGGCCCTTGCCCTGAAAAACTGTGTGTGCCCACCTAGGAGGAATTGGTGAGGTGTTTTATAGCGATGGTTCAAGGGCAGTACTGCTGACAAGGATCAGGGTGTGTGCAGGGCCTGCACTTCTTTAATCCGGCCTCGGGTGGTCTCTTGATGAGCAGGTTATCAAACTGTCACCTTCTCTGAAATGAAGAATACTAACATCTTGCATGATGCTGTTAAAGTGCTGCACTCAATATGCCAGCAAATTTGGAAAACTCAGCAGTGGCCACAGGACTGGAAGAAGTCAGTTTTCATCCCAATCCCAAAGAAGGGCAATGCCAAAGACTGTTCAAAATACTGCACAACTGAACTCATCTCACACTTTAAAAAAGTAATGCTCAAAATTCTCCAAGCCAGGCTTCAACAGTATGTGAACTGTGAACTTCCAGATGTTCAAGTTGGGTTTAGAAAAGGCAGAGGAACCAGAGATCAAATTGCCAACATCTATTTGGTCATAGAAAAAGCAAGAGAGTTCCAGAAAAACATCTACTTCTGCTTTATTGATTACACAAAAGCCTTTGACTGTGTAGATCATAACAAACTGTGGAAAATTCTTCAAGAGATAGGAATACCAGACCACCTGACCTGCCTCCTGGGATATCTGTATGCAGGTTAAGAAGCAACAGTTAGAACTGGACATGGAACATCAGACTGATTCCAAATCGGGAAAGGAATACGTCAAGGCTGTATATTGTCACCCTGCTTATTTAACTTATATGCAGAGTACATCATGTGGAATGACAGGCTAGATGAAGCACATGCTGGATTCAAGATTGCTGGGAGAAATATCAATAACCTCAGATATGCAGATGACACCACCATTATGGCAGAAAGTGAAGAAGAACTGAAGAGCCTCTTGATGAAAGTGAAAGAGGAGAGGGAAAAGCTGGCACAACCAGTCCATCCTAAAGGAAATCAGTCCTGAATATTCATTGGAAGGACTGATGTTGAAGCTGAAACTCCAATACGTTGGCCATGTGATGCGAAGAACTGACTCCTTGGAAAAGACGCTGATGCCAGGAAAGATTGAAGGCAGGAGGAGAAGGGGATGGCAGAGAATGAGATTGTTGGATGACATCACGGACTCAACGGACATGAGTTGAGTAAGCTCCGGGAGTTGGTGAAGGACAGGGAAGCCTGGCCTGCTGCAGTCCATGGGGTCACCAAGAGTCGGACACAACTGAGCGATTGAACCGAACATCTTCCATTAGTTGGGAGTTTCAGTTGGGATACTTATTGTTATATGTATCCCTCGAGGCAGAACCAGGACCCTGCCCCGTGGCTGCACTATTGTTTCTTGACTGCTCCTCCCTTATCTCCACATCCTCTCCACTCCCTGACTAGCAACTGTTTGAAAGGTCTCAGTGCCCAGGAGCCCCACAGGTCCTGCTTGGTTTCAGAAGGAAGATCAGATTTGGAATTTAGGAAGCTCAGTTGAGCAGCCTGTCAGATAGAACTGAAGGAGCAGACCTATGGGAGACTCTCACACTTGACCAGATCAGAAGTGATGAGACCATGTCCTGGGCTTGGGAACAAGGGCAGATTCAGATGTGAGATGTCAGGATGACATAGGTGGTCCCATTCAGGAAGGAAGGGGAAGCAGAACAACTTAAATTGATTGATAGAAGCTCTACATTTATTACCAAGTGTTGGGCCCAACAGGAAGCTGTGATTCTTATCTCAGCCACCCCAACTTCTGCATTGCCTTATCCATCTCCATTGGCTCAAGGATCAAAGCAATGGGACTTAGAGCCATATTTCTCTGATGGTCTGGCCTGGTTCAAGGTTAGGATCTGCAAGGATGGATGAACTGCAGAGATTCCAGTGAGTTTCCATGAACATAGTTTCTTACAGTTGCTTTTGCTAAATCTTGTGAGTGCCACAGGGTTGGAATGCCACTCTACAAAGGCAAAGGTTTGTGTTCTATCCCCAGCACTGAGGACACGTTGCAGGTTCTAACCAGTATTTATAGAAGGAAGGAATTGACACTTTCAGGTCACCTGAACCCACGAACAAAAGATATGTTTGTGCAAACCCAGACTATCTGCCGGGTACACTATTGTAAATAATACTGTGATGGACATCTCTGTGTATGTCAGCTTTTTTCCCATCACAGGGCCTTTTATACCTACTGTTATTTCTCCCAGAAATATCCTTTCCCCCATCTTCACTCAACTGAGGTATGACCTCACCCATCAGGTCTCTCTTGGGGCTCCTTTATTTTTTAACATTTTTAAAATTCATAGTAGCATAATTATGAAAGTGAAAGTGAAGTCACTCAGTTGTGTCCAACTCTTTGCAGCCCTGTGGACTGTAGCCCACCAGGCTCCTCCGTCCATGGGATTCTCCAGGCAAGAATACGGGAGTGGGTTGCCATTTCCTTCTCCAGGGGATCTTTCTGACCCAGGGATCGAACCCAGGTCTCCTGTATTGCAGGCAGACACTTTAACCTATGAGCCACCAGGAAAGCCCTGCATGATTATAGCAAATATAAAATATAATTACATTTTTTCTTTTCCATTATAGTTTATCACAGGATATTGTATATAGTTCCCCATGCTATACAGAAGGACCTTGTTGTTTATGCATATAGATCTCCTTCTTTGAAAGGCCTGTAACCTCCTCATTTAATTTGTCTCTCATGGATCTCAGGATTTTTTTTCTCTTAGAATATTTTGATTTTCAGTTCCTATGTGCCTGGGATATGGTAATAATAATAGCAGACATTCACTGATGCCAATCTGTACCAGGCGCTTCTCTTAAGAGCTACCTACAAATTTTATTTGGGGCAAAATGAGGACTGCAGCCCAAGAGGCAGCATCCCCTATATCTTAAAGCAGCAGTACCATTAAGCACTCATTTTACAAAAGGGTTTTTGTTAGTGAGAATCTAATGTCACCATGAAGGGATTTAATGCTTCTCTAGATATGAGGAGATGCAAGGATTGAGATTATAAAATCTGTTCCTAAAAACGCCCAACTATCTAAAGACCTGTCCCACCAGATTCCCTGGAGCAGAGTGCCTCAGCCCACCCTGAACTCCCTCAGAGGTTGTTGAAGGTCAGCAGCTATAGCAGCGTGTGGTCCAGTCTCCACAGAGGCAGGTGGCAAATGCCTCTGCTGTTTAGTTGGCAATGCTCTTGGTAAGTGCCAATTTGTAGCTGACACACGTCTTAAGCATCTCATTGACTCCTGCCAGCTCCTCTGTGAAGTAGATCCTATTATTATCTTCTGTCGTCCTCTGTGGCTTAGGCACTGGACACACAGACAGGGCTAGATATTCATTTGGCGTGACTCAGCTTCTAAGTGGAAGAGCCAGGATTGGAACCCAGGTGGTCTGCCTCTTGAACTTTACCTCCTTGATAAATACACATTCAACAGAAGTCAAACAAATGACGTTTTCACTACATTTTCAGTTATTTTCTTAAGAGTAATTTTCTTTTCTTGCAAGGGGGAACACTTGTCAACTTTATTAACTTACTTAAAAACCATGAAATCTCGAACGAAAGAGGCAATGCTTAAAGTTCAGCTGGACGAAGCAAACTAAGCCTTTTCCTTTGCCTGGATCCTCACCATAAATCTTGCCTTTGAATTATCAGATTTGCCACCCCTCACCTTCGGAATATTGTGATTAATATAGACAGAGGCAGACTTTGTCTAGTTTAGGAGGTGAGAGCAAGATAGAAAAAATACTGTGTTTGAGTGAAGAAGGTGGGAAAAAGATGCCCTGGATCCTTCTTTGAAACTCATAAAAGATGATCACATTTTACTAAAGTTCAATCAAGTTACATGCTCTTCTCCTTTGGGGAGGATGTGTTAAGAAGATAGAGTCTTGTGCTTCCTTTGGCAGCACATACACTAAAATTGGAATGATACAGAGAAGGTTAGCATGGCCCCTGCATAAGGATGACACACAAATTCATTCCATATTTTTTTTATAGCTGATTCACATTGTTGTATAGCAGAAACTAACACAGCACTGTAAAGCAATTATACTCCAATTAAAAAAAAATTAGCAAATAATACTGAACACCACATGCAATGAGAATTACTGGTGTATTTAATCTAAATACATTTAGATTTCTAGAAATACATTTCACATTTCTAAAGCATACAATCACTCCTATTAATATAAATTTAAGCCGGCTATACGGGCTTTGGGTTTCCCAGATGTTGCATGGTAAAGAACCCACCTGCCAATGCAGGAGATGTAAGAGACCTGGGTTTGATCCCTGGTTCGGGAAGATCCCCTGGAGGAAGAAATGACAACCCCCTCCAGTATACTCGCCTGCAGAATCCCATGGACAGAGGAGCCTGGCGGGCTACAGTCTACAGGGTCACAAAGAGTTGGACACAACTGAAGCGACTTCAGGCACATACGCACACACTGCCTTTACCAAAGTTAATGTACTCATAAGGAAATCTTGAGAACTTTAGTGAAGTCACCTCTCCACAGCTCCTGGTGCTAATCTCAGAGGTCAAAGAATTGTTTTGATTGAGAAAAACACAAACATAACCCAAGAAAAAAATGACTGAGGCAAGGGGAAAAACAAGAATCTTAACAGAAACATCCTCTCTTGTTGTTTAAGGCTTGACTGTGGGGAGAAATCAATAGTCCTTCCAACTCTGAACACACTCTTGAAGTATTTCTCTCCTGTTGGCCTGTTTGCAGAAAAATTTAGATGGTTTTCCTTTTCTTTCTTCTAGTATTTACAATAATTTTTTAAATTTTTAATTGGAGGATAATTGCTTTACAAAGTTGGTTTTTGGCTGTACAACAAAGCGATTCAGCCATAAGTGTGTGTGTATATACATATATATGTATACACATACCGTACATATATATATATACCATATATATATATATATATATATATATATATATTCCTCCTTCCTCACACCCCATCCTACCTCTCTAGGTCATCCTCGAGGGCCAGGCTGGGCTTCCTGTGCTATCAGCAGGTTCCCACTGGTTATCTGTTTTACACATGGACGTATATATTTGTCAGTGCTACACTCTCAAATTAGCTGGCTTTAGCAGAGCAAAGCATCCATTCAAAGTAAGCATTCGGTGGTTCCTTTCTCCTCCGCTGCTGTCATACTTTGGCTCTCTCCATTGATCTTTAAGACCATCAGTTCCTTTTTTAAAAGAATAATTTGCCAAATTTATAGTTGGGGAAAGGGCTGTTGATGTTCTGCGCCTCCTGCAACTATTCCCCAAAGTGTTTTCTTGAGGGCTGTACCAGCTCAGCCCCCTGCTAACTGTCCGCTCTGGAATTGCTGACAGCACAAGGAACAGCGGAGGGAGCAGCTGTCCATCGCCGAAGCCTCCGGGGCCGCCGAGGATGCCAGCCAGTACCTGGGCCAGTGGCGGGGCCTGATGGCCGAGCACAGCGCCGCCCTGGAGGAGCTGCAGGAGCGCCTGGACCAGGCTGCCCTGGATGAGCTCAGGGCGCTGACCCTCTCGCTATCCGAGAAAGCCACAGAGGAGCTGCGGCGTCTGCAGAACTCAGGGATGACCCAGGAGCTGCTCAAGCGTGGGGTGCCTTGGCTCTTCCTGCAGCAGATCCTGGAGGAGCACGGCAGGGACCTGGCGGCCCGGGCCGAGTGGCTAGAGGGTGAGGAGAGGGACCGGGGCCAGGAGGGCGTCCAGAGCGTCAGGCAGAGACTGAAGGATGATGCGCTGGAGGCCTCCACGGAGGAGCAGGTGGAGCTGAGACACTGGGAGCACTTGATCTTCACGTGAGTCTTAATGCCTGAGTGTTGTCCTCTCCTCTGTTCCTGTTGGTGGGGGAGGGATTCTGCCTGCTGGTTCCGAGCATAGCCAGACACGTGACACCTGATCCTGAGACTGAGACTTGATGTGGCCCAAAGCAGGGCTTTGGCCACCTGATGCAAAGAACTGACTCATTTGAAAGGACCCTGATGCTGGGAAAGATTGAAGGCGGGAAGAGAAGGGAACACCAGAGGATGAGGTGGTTGGATGGCATCACTGACTCAATGGACATGAGTTTGAGTAAATTCCAGGAGTTGGTGATAGACAGGGAGGCCTGGCGTGCTGCATTCCATGGGGTTTCAGAGTCAGACATGACTGAGCAACTGAACTGAACTGAAAGAAAGGGGGGATTCAGTTGTGTGATAGATGCCAGCAAAGCTTTGGCAGCTGTTTGGGGCTGGTGCATCAGATTGGAAACTGGAGGAGCCTCAAACACCACCCACATTGGGCAACAGAAAGGAATGAAATGTGGGCAGTGTAGACCAAAAATCTGGGTTTAAATCCCAATACCACCACCAGCTGTCTGAGTGTAGACAAGTTACTGAGTCTCTGAGCCTCATCCTTCATGTCTGTGAAATGGGATGATGATACGCAGTCATTTATGGTGCTTTCAGTAGCACATGATACTATTGGGTTGTTAGAAAGTGAAGAAAGCATTTTATAAGAAGTCAGGAGGTAAATTTTCTAGTTTTGATTCCATGACTCGGTGATACTATCAAGGATTCAGCCCTCAACATCTTTCTGTCTGCTATACTCAATGGGCTACCTTGGTCCTTGGGCTCATCCTTCATGGTTTCATGATGGCTGCTGCAGCTCCAGGCGTCACACACATCATCTTTTTTTAACATCTGCGGCATTGGTCTTCCCTGTCCTATTTGGCAGGACTACATCATAAACACATGCCAAACTGTTCAGCTGCTAGCAGGCTAAAAAGGCTATGATTGTCTTAGACCAGAGGGCAGCAGACTTTTTCTTTAGGCTTCGAGAGCTACATGGTTTCTGTAGCAGCTATTCAACTCTGGCAGCAGCATGAAAGCAGCTACAGGCAATCTGTAAATGAACATGACTGTGTTCCAATAGAACTTTATTGACAAAAACAAGCAGTGGGCCAGATTTGGTCCACAGGCCACAGGTTGCCAATTCCTGCCGCAGACCACCCAGGATTCCCTCTCTAGGGCTACTGGGAGGTTCATATCTCCAACACTGTTGGAGGGTAACTCCTATAAACAAAAGCTGAGCTGACAAGGGACAAGGAAGTGACTCTAGATTAGACCATTAGACCACTATCTAGCAAAATGCCAACTCCCAGCATTGACGAGGGGTTGCGTGAGCAAGTATATGTCGGTCTTTTAACACAACATTTGATCAGAAATAAGTGGATGGTAAGAGGTACCTGCTATCATCACCGCCATCATTCCTGTGTGAGAAGAACTCAGATTATCAGGAGGAGAACAGACACACAGATAGATAATTGTGATGAGCAAAGCAGGAGCAATTAACCAGGTGATTGTGTGGAGGATCAGGATCTTTACCAGGATAGGAAGGAGGTACATTTTGGGTGCTGGCCTCTGAGCTGGTACTGGGAGCCAGAGATGAGGGGACCCTGCTCACTGGTGCTGTGCTGAGAGGAGGCAGGACTGGTGGTGAACAGCTTGATGGGTCCTTGTCTGGGTGTGAAATGGGGAGACCAGTCTCACTGCACAAAGAAACAAAATCAAAACCCCCACCAACAGCAGCACAGTGGAGAGAAACAATAACCCCCACCTACCTAGTCTATTTATTTAGAGTAATAGAAACTGTTTACTTATAAGGGCATAATTGTGGGCATTTGGCTATAACTTAGAGCTACTTCCTTAAACCAATGGACCCACCGATCAATATTCCATCAAGTTGCTTTCTCTTTGAACAAAGCAACCCAGAAAACCCTATTCAAGGAAATAAACTAAACCAAAGCCCTTTGACCAGTCTTTCCTCAGTGTGACCACTCCACAGTTTAACTTGGATCTTAGCCACAATTTCAATTCTGAATCTACAGCCCTTCTGTTTAGAAATGGTTATATTGACAAAGGGCATTCCAGGTGGCTCAGTGATAAAGAATCCACCTGGCAATGCAGGAGATGCAGGATACTCAGGTTCAATCCCTGGGTCGGGAGGATCCCCTGGAGGAAGAAATGTCAACCTACTCCAGTATTCTTGCCTGGAGAATCCCATGGTCAGAGGAGCCTGGTGGGCTAGAATCCATGAGGTCACAAAGAGTCGGACACAACTTAGCAACTGAGTATGCACATACTTAGTGACATAGGACCGTAGAGGGGTGTTGGGGGTCGGGGAGGGGGTAGGGGAAGGAGTCCCTCTCAGTATATCTGCTCAGTCTGTCTGTCCACCTCCTCTCTTGAACCCCATGTTGCTTGCTTGATATCTGTGGTCCTCTCCACCTCCGTCAAAGCCTGGGCTCTCCTTGAACCCTTTCAGGGACACCAGGTAGCAGAGCATCGTTCTGAAATGCTCGTCCTTCCTTGAGGGCAGTAACATCCATGGATCAGGGTCCTTCCGGACTCAGTGATGCAATGCCTCCTCCTTAACTGCTCTTCCCTGGGGACTGAACCTGCGACCAGCGAGGAGACGTCCCAGGTGTTGTGGAGAGGGAGGTTATCTTGGTGTCGATGAAGTGACCTCTTCCTTCTTTCTCATCTCTCTTTTTTTTATGGTTCTGTCCTTATTTAGCTCAGTCTTTGTTAGTTTTTTATTTGACTTGAACAAACAAGATGCTGTCTTCTCCAAGCCCATACAAATCAGACCCTTAAATGCCACTTCTTATTTGCATAAGTTGTTCTCAGCAGTAATTATTCAGCCCAATCTGCATTTGACCAAAGTCTCTTTGCTCCATCCTACCTGCTTTGGGCTGGCTCTTTAAAGTCTGTGGATTGGACTTGACATTCCCATTACCGGATGGTCACCTTCTTCGCCTTCATTTGGTTTCATTTTGCAGGGAATATTATGAAAGCTGCTGCTGATTGAGTTGTTCAACAGGAAAAGAGAAATCTTACTTTTCTATCAGAAAGCTCTCTATGATTTTCCCTAGGGTTAAAGAGGGTCAACTAACAATATACACAATGTGAGTCTGCTTATATACTTTGCTTATTTAAGACTCTAAAAGGTTGCAGCCTTTATTTCTGAGGCATTAAGTAGAAATGACTTTGCACAATAGTTTGGAAACATGTTTTTATAAGTTTCCTGATTTCAAGCAGGTTGGAGTTGCTGTAAACCTGGTCTGATGAAGTGAGAATTAATCAAGAGGCATACTTTACCAGGGAAAGTGTGTCTTTAAGACCTTGTTACTAAACTCCTGCCTGGATGTTAAATTCCTTCAGGGCAAAGATGATCTCCTGTGTTTCTGTATTATCTTGGTGCCTAGCTAGTTGAGGATCAAGACCAGACCACCCAGCACATGTATGCATGTTCAGTTGTGTCCGACACTTTGTATCCTCATAGACTATAGCCCACCAGGCTCCTCTGCCCATGGAATTCTCCAGGCAAGAATAACTGGAGTGGGCTGCCATTTCTTTCTCCAGGGAATCTTCCCAACCCAGAAATCCAACACTCATCTCTGGCGTCTCCTGCATTGGCAGGCACATTCTTTACTGCTAGGCGCCACCTGGGAAGTCCCTAGACCACCCAGGGAAGAATAAAGACTCGGATTCTTTTCAGAGTTACTTTCACCTTAGAGGCCACATAAGCAGCAAATATGTAGGGCAAGGATGCTCCATGAAGGCGCAAAGGAGCAGCTGTGGTTTCCTAAAGTACTTCAGAAAACTTGGTGGGTCCCATGGAACCCTGTGGGCTTGAGGCCTTCAGACTGCTTCCGGCTAGGGGCCCACATCAGCTCTGATAGTCTTATTCTGTTCCCAGGAGAGAACTTTCTAGCTGAGCTGAAATTGTATACCCCTCTGTGGAGATTTGGGACTGATAGACTTGGTGCTGGCCTCCCACAGCAACATCCTGCGGGTATTTCCAAATTTTAAACCATCCACAAAGCGTATTTTCTTCAGCTAGTGCTGATCAGACCTTGCCAGAATAACCAAACAGATTATATGATTTCATGTCCCACACAATATGGTGGCTCAGTGGTAAAGAATCTGTCTGCCAATGCAGGATACATGGGGTCAATCCCTGCGTGGGGAAGATCCCCTGAAGAAGGAAATGACAACCCACTCCAGGATTCTTGTCTGGAGAATCCCATGGACAGAGGAGCCTGGAGGGCTCCAGTCCTTGGGGATCACAGAGAGATACAGAGTGACTGAGCATGCATTGGCAGGCACATTCTTTACTGCTGGGCGCCACCTGGGAAGTCCCTAGACCACCCAGGGAAGAATAAAGACTCGGATTCTTTTCAGAGTTACTTTCACCTTAGAGGCCACATAAGCAGCAAATATGTAGGGCAAGGATTCTCCATGAAGGAAGGTGCAAAGGAGCAGCTGTGGTTTCCTAAAGTACTTCAGAAAACTTGGTGGGTCCCATGGAACCCTGTGGGCTTGAGGCCTTCAGACTGCTTCCGGCTGGGGGCCCACATCAGCTCTGATAGTCTTATTCTGTTCCCAGGAGAGAACTTTCTAGCTGAGCTGAAATTGTATACCCCTCTGTGGAGATTTGGGACTGATAGACTTGGTGCTGGCCTCCCACAGCAACATCCTGCGGGTATTTCCAAATTTTAAACCATCCACAAAGCGTATTTTCTTCAGCTAGTGCTGATCAGACCTTGCCAGAATAACCAAACAGATTATATGATTTCATGTCCCACACAATATGGTGGCTCAGTGGTAAAGAATCTGTCTGCCAATGCAGGATACATGGGGTCAATCCCTGCGTGGGGAAGATCCCCTGAAGAAGGAAATGACAACCCACTCCAGGATTCTTGTCTGGAGAATCCCATGGACAGAGGAGCCTGGAGGGCTCCAGTCCTTGGGGATCACAGAGAGATACAGAGTGACTGAGCACGCGCGCGCGCACACACACACACACACACACACACCCCAACATGACGCACATTAGGTGCTGAAGAAACCCTTGTGGAATGAATGCCTGATCCAGGAGATGGTGGGTGTTTCCGGACATGGATTTGACTAATAGAATTTGAGCTTTGAATTTCTACTTTCCCATCCCCAGCACAACCCACCCTGTCTTCTTCTTTTGCAAGAACAGACCACTCTTCTTGCTTTTCCAGGAAGCTCTGCTCCTCTGCCTTCTCCCTGTCCGAAGAGGAGCTGCTTGGGATGAGGCAGGAAGTTCACGGCTGCTTCGCGCAAATGGACAGGAGCTTGGCCCTCCCCAGAATCCGGGCCCGAGTCCTGCTGCAGCGATTCCAGACGGCTTGGCGAGAAGCAGAGTTCCTGAAGCTGGACCAGGCCATGGCCGCCTCTGAGCTGCAGGTAGGATGGGCGTCTCGGGGCCTCGTCCTGGCAGAGGCAGGGCCTCCTCCAGCTGCTGAGGCTGTAGAATCCAGCTCCACTGCTGCCTCAGCCCTTGGCCATGTTAGCATCGGACATTCCTGGAACCGCCTGAAGCTCTGTAGCGGACACCCTGGTCCCTGGCTTCGCACTGTCCACCAGCGGTTATGAGTCTCCACCACTCATGGTTCACAGGTGCACCCTCTCCTGGGCGTTGATTGCCCTTGGTGGTGGGAGCCACCCGGCCTGAGAGGTGACTATCCCTCCTGCCCCCTCCCTTAGCCACAGCCAGTGACCCACGCAGGAGGCTTGTGTAAGTGGCCTGAGGAAGATGCTCACTTCAGCTCAGCTGGATAAGGGCATCTCTGATCCCAGGCCTTGTAGGGTGACTGACAGATGCCTGTGTGGGCTAAGTCATTTCAGGCGTGTCTGATTCTTCGTGACCCCGTGGACTATAGCCCACCAGGTTCCTCTGTCCATGGGATTCTCCAGGCAAGAATACTAGAGTGGGTTGCCATGGCCTCTTCCAGGGGTCTTCCTGACCCAGGGATTGAACCCAAGCCTTCTGCATTGGCTGATGGGTTTTTTATCTCTAGTGTCACCTGGGAAGCCCTGACATGTCTGTAGTGAGCACCTGTTACATGCAACAGGCAACTCTTGAGTGCTTGGTTTACTCCAGAGCCCCACATGGCGCCAGTCAAGGCCAGACCCTCCCACCTTACCTAGCCCCTTCCTCCTCCTATCCTGGTTCCCACACCTCCTGTGGCTTGCTCTGAACTCCTCTCTCAGGAAACAACATTCACCCTAGTCCCTGCTGTCTCTGGCTCTGCCTCTGGGGAACCTGACCTGCAAGGCCTTTGAACTTGCTGTTTCCTCTGCCAGGAACATCACAGCGCCAACTCTTTGCTGTCTCTTCACATCTCAGTTCAGTTGTCATCTGCACAGAGGTCCTCCCTGAGCACTATCCGGAGTCATCACTTCCCCAGGCCTCCTTCAGAAAGCTGTGTTCTTGCTTCTTTGTAGAATTGATCGTGATCTGAAATGTCCTGGTTACTCAATGTACTCACAGTCTGTGCATCACCGCCCCCCCACCAACAAGCTCCCTGTTTGTAGCTCCCATTCACCACGCCATCCAAGCACCTAGAATGTGCCTGGCACGTAGTAGGTGTGCAATAAGTTTTATTGACTGAACCAGCCAACCACCTGATGTGGGCAGAATGTGGGGAACTTCCCTGAGGTGATATCACACTGAGGTTGAGAACACTTCACATCACTTACCCTTCTGTTAGCTCAGCTGTGGTTAACAGCAGGGCCAGGAGTAGATGTTCTGTCCCCATGTTACAGATGAGAAAACTGACCGAGAGGAAACGTGAATTGACCAAGTTAGGATGGAATAGAAGGACTGGTCTTGGAGGTGGTGCTTTCTGACTTTAAACCCAGTGCTTCTCCTTGAGGAGAAAAAAAAAAATTCAGCCACTTCCTTTCTGAATAAGATCAGTGAACAAAACCAACTTGGAAGATTTTACATCTTTTCACGTTTAAAAAAAGGGGGCTTCCCAGGTGGCGCTAGTGGTGAAGAACCCGCCTGCTGATGCAGCAGACATAAACAACGTGTGTTCAGTCCCTGGGTCAGGAAGATTCCCTGGAGAAGGAAATGGCAACCCACTCCAATATTCTTGCATAGAAAATTCCACGGACAGAGGAGCCTGGTGGGCTATAGTCCACCAGGTCACAAAGAGTTGGACATGACTGAAGCAACTTAGCATGCACATTAAAAAAAAAATAGTGGGTTGAGAATTCCCTGGCAGTCCAGTGGTTAGAACTCCATGCTTCCACTGCAGGGGGCCTGGGTTCCATTCCTGGTTGGGGAACTAAGATCCCAGAGGCTCCACAGCACAGCCTAAATAAATAAATACATGTTGTTGTTGTTGTTTTTCTATTTCTCTTATTAGAATGTTGCAAGATATACAAAATGGTGATACTTACAGAGTCAGGAACAGGTTATACCCAAAAATGTATAAAAGGTTTTGGAACAGTGAGTAAAAAAAAAAAAGATGTTTCCATGTAAGTGAACTGAAGTGTGTTTCCCCTGCTTTTGAGCTGGACCAAGGGCTGAAGGGCTGAGCCCAGCAGGAATTAAGTGTCTGACTGTAAGTTGTTCAAAGTGCTGGATGTTGGAATTGAATTGGCCTTGTGCCTCAGAGGGGTGGAGCATCTGCCCTGGGCCTAAGGTTGCTCCCTGGAAACCCTGTAGAGAGGCAGGGGCGGAGGTGAGGGGTGGAGCCTGCAGCTGACTGAGCCTGGCCATCTTCACCAGCAGCACCATGAGAAGAGCATCACAGTGGGCAGGCCTAGGAGGGCATCTCCAGGAGCCACTCCATCGTCAGGCCCTCCTATCCTGCCAGCCTAGGGATGTGGGCTAGTTATCCTGCAGGCAAACAAGCTGGGAGCTTGCACCTAAAAGTTTTTTTTATTCTTATTTTATTTATTTTAGCCTTATTTTTCTTATCCATCATTTTTTCATCTATAACATGCATATAATGAAGATTACTGTGGGAATTGTTCAGTCATTAAATTGTGTCTGACTCTTTGTGACCCCATGCACTACAGCAGGCCAAGCTTCCCTGTCCTTCACCACCTCCCAGAGCTGGCTCAAATTCTTGTCCATCGAGTCGGTGATGCCATCCAACCATCTCATCCTCTGTGGTCCCCTTCTACTCTTGTCCTCAATCTTTCCCAGCAGCAGGGTCTTTTCCAATGAGTCAGTTCTTTGCATCAGGTGGCCAAAGTACTGGAGCTTCAGCTTCAGCATCAATCCTTCCAATGAATATTCAGGACTGATTTCCTTTAGGATTGACTGGTTTGATCTCCTTGCAGTCCACGGGACTCTCAACAAGAATCTCCTTCAGCACCACAATTCGAAAGCATCAATTCTTTGGCTCTTAGCCTTTGGCATTAGATAGTCTAATATGTAGAAGAGAATTAATTCTACTCCATACATCCCCATTCCCTTGGGCCTCCCCATTCGTTCTTTCTTCTGACCACCAGGTAGCCCTCCAGTTTCTTCCCTGTTGATCACTGTTTGGATTCAGCTCCCTAAACAAGAGCAGAATTGTCTGGTTGACATATCAGCTGGCACCTCCCAGGGTTCTCAGACAACTGATGCAAATGAGTATCTGAGGCTCTTCTAAATTCTAACAGACAGGCAAGTCAGATTGCTCCCTCCTCTTTCTTCAAGCCTTTCCTTGGCACTTTCTGCCAGGATACAAGTTCTACTGTGGTGTCAAGGCTCCACCTAATCTGACCCTTGATGAGCCATATGCTGGTAAACTAACTCTGGATGGGAGTTCATTGTTCCTGATTTGTAGCATTTTCCCATTTCCCTCATGTCAGTACCCCTTCCAAGGTCAACTGACTTGACATCCAGCACGTGGGCGCTGAGAGAGACGTACATGATCAGACCCCCCGCCCCACTCTGGCTTCACCCCCTCCCAGTGCCAATCCTCACTCTAGGTTTCAGGATCATACCCACCAGGCCAGCTCTGTTCCTCAGAGGCCCTGACTCACAATTTCCTTTTTTTGTGGTCTTATCTCCGTTAGAGCAGGAGATGAAAACTTTAGTTCACTCATGGAGTTAGTGAGCCTAGTCTGTGTACTTAAAGATATTGGGCTCAGGGATCAGGAGGCTCACCGTCAAGTTCTCAGGGCTCCCGTGACGTGGCTGAGGCCATTGATTCTGTTCTCCTGGCCTCAGTCTCCTCCTCTGTCAAATGGGATGTCTGATCTCAGTGAATTACCCTTAAGGTGCTTGCCTCCTCTGAGTGCGCTGGGGCAAGCCCTGAGGACATGGTAGTCCTCTCTAGTATTATCACCATGGTCATGAGAGCCGGGGCAGAGACTGGCAGGCAGGCCTGAGTCCAGGTCGAGAGCAGGCTCTGGGAGATCATGGCAATGAAAGAGAGGAGCAAGGGTGGGCATGTGAGCCAGGAAGCGAAAAGCACCAGCCCTCGTGGGAGTGACCACTGACCACACATTGCTTTGAGCCTCTTAGGTGGGGTGTGTTACGTTGTGTTGATTGTGCTCCATCAGGCTGTGCTGCGCTGGGTTATGTTTTGCTGTGTTATGTCATGTCCTGTTGTCACATTCTGATGTTATGTACCTTCTGTTATCACAGCACTCTGCTATGTTATAGAAATAGCCTGTTGTTGTGTTATATCGCATTGTGTTATGCTGTGTTGTATTGTTACATCGTTTTGTTTAGTATGTTATACTATGTTGTTATGTTTATGTGGTTTAAGGGCTTCCCCGGTGGCTCAGTAAAGAATCCACCTGCAAAGCAGGAGACCTAGGTTTGATCCCTGGGCTGGGAAGATCCCCTGGAGAAGGGAATGGCAACCCACTCCAGTATTCTTGCCTGGAGAATCCCACGGACAGTGGAGCCATGGGGTCACAAAGAGCCAGACATGACTGACTAATAATTATGTTACATTGTGTTATGTTTTTGCAGTAATCTTGTGAGGTAGGCACTATTATCTCCATTTTATAGGCGTGGAAACTGAGGCTCAGACATTGTAGCATGTGCTACACTCATTCGTTCATTCCTTGAATATCAATTTACTGAGCACCCACGACCTTTTCTTTAACCCCTCTCACCTTTGCTGTGGGCTTCAGATCTTTGGGGTCTGGAACCCCCTGTTCCCAGATTTTCACACTCCTGACACCTTGTCCTGCCAGGCTCAGCTGCAGTGTCACTTCCTCACATTTGTGAGCAGCTACTATGTGTGTGCAGGGTGTGCAGATTGCTGTTCTAGGAGGATGGTCTATGTCAACATCTCCCCGGCCCCCAAGCACAGTGCTTCCTTGAATGGATGCATGCAGATGTCCTCAGCAGCCATTTACCTCTGCAGACGTGTCCCCGTCCACCCAACATGAGGTAACAGCCAGCACGCTCATTCCATCACCTTGTCTTCATGGCACTCACTGGCCCTCTGAGAGTGCCTCTGTCCATCTGCAAAGCTCCGGTGCTGCCCTCAAGCAACCCTCTCCTCCCCTTGGTGGGATGAGCCCCCAGAGTACACCAAGACCAAAGGCTGGTGACCGGAGCTCCTTACAGCAGCAGCAGCAGAGCCCTCGGGGGCTGTGAGTGTCCGCCT